GAGAGCAACACAACCGATGGGAGTTATAGAGAAGTTGCCGGGATCATACTCAACACTAACAGGCCTGGGCATTATGGCAGCATGTCAGTAAACATCACTGTGTCCAGCCCTACTAGAACCAGAGAGCCCGATATCTTAGTTGTAACGGATGGTTGGGCTCACCTGAGTGTCGGTGATGAAACCAGAGACTTCTGGTGGAACCCAGCTCCAGGCAAGAACTCCTACGGTCCAGATCGTGTATTTGTGTTTTTCCGAGTTCCGACTATCGACTTTGGTACCCTCCCTCGTAACGTGAGCGTTTGGAGCTCGTGGGATAGTCTAATTGGTGGAGCGCAGAGCGACGGATTGGGCCTGAGAGTCAGTCACAAATGCTCCTCTAATGTGCCCTATTCTGAGTTTTACAGCAGACAAGAAATCCTCATAAAAAGGGTGAGAGGTGGCTGGTACTACTTGGTTAAGTACGAATTTTTTGACTTTTCTCCTATGCTAGAAGATTACACCAAATATGTGATCCGCGGCAATCTACAGAACGTGAATATACTGTGAATCTACGCAGCATCATGATTCTATGCCTAGCCGGCGTGGCGACGTCGGTGAGCTCTGATGCTGGTGCCTCACGAACTGTACATATCTCTTGATTCAAGAGTCTTGAACAATGTGATGATTTCGGGTCATTCTCACTACCGTATCCATCTATTTACCATTTATTCATTTTCATTTCCCATTTTTTCATATCTTGGTCCAATATCGCGTTAATGTCGTGCGCAAGAGCCTGCTGTTCGTCGCTTATCGTATGCAAGTCTGCGCATTGATATGCGAGGTATCCAACATTTTTCCACGAGCACACTCTTGCAAGCCTCGTTGTGGCTCGAGTAGCGATCAAGAGTGAAAGCTTTGGCTCATCACCTTGCCAATGACGAAATCGAGCGGCCGGTTGTGGGATGGGTCTAGACTCTAGAGCAATATGCTACGTTTTCTTTCCCTTGAATTCTGCGGATGTTGTTGCGTTTAGATATGAAGGCCACTTACTAGACCAACTCGGCTTCTCACGCTGCGACTCGGTCGGCCGGAGCTACTCCGACCGACCGAGAGTGCTCCAACGGATCATCTCATCGTGCACCTTTCTGTTTGAGGACTTCAAATCATTTCAAGACCCATCTTAATCCATCCTGGAAACCCTTGGGATCTCGTGAAACCATTGTGACCGTCACGTGAAACGTGGAGATTTGTATGTCTGTAGTCGTACCAATGCATGCTGCGGCAGTGTAACCCATCAGCGACAAATGCAACTCTTCCCTAGCGGGAATTCCCGGAAAGAAAGTATGATAAACCTTCTCGAGAATAATAACCACTATTCTTCCCCTAGTAGTACTGGGTAACCCAGGACAGTTCTGGCAGGACTGCACGGAGACTCACTGTCGGCGACTCATCGACGGAGGCTATGACTTCGAAAGGAAAGCTGCATGGAAAATCCTTCCACCACGCTGCCGGCGGCAGCCTGCCGCCCAAAATATGGCTCACGAGTAGATCAAAAATGGCTCGTTTTTAGCATTTTTGATCGAGTTCAAGGTTAGATCATCTACAAAGTGTTCTCGTCATCCTGCGAGACATTCACGGCATCATTACTAGTGGGGAGTGTCCACTCAGAAGAACTATCATCAATGCCATCAATGATGGCCCATCACTCCGTTTGTGTATCAGCAACAAGGTCATCATTCACTATTGTTACCAAATACACTCCATAGAAAAACCTCGACCCCGACCATGCCCATTCCAGGTGTTGTTGAGTCAACTGAAATCTTATCAGCGCCGCGACGCGGTAACCATGGAAGGGCGTGAAATCCACGCTTTTTACACCGTGAGAATTCACGCCGTGAATATTGGTGTGCAACACGCGTGGGTTGCGAAGGAGAAAACGATAGACTGCTGCTGCTGCTGGCAGGTCTCTGTGTTCTGTTGCTCGCAGCGCGGTCTCGACTGTGTCTACCCAGGAAACAAAATTAGTTGGGGTGCCGCAGCGGCTGCAAAAGATCCTTGGCGACCGTTGCAGTGACGTTGATGCAGCATTCGTATTGAGTACATATCGGTCACTCTCGTTCGTATCTCCTCAGATTTCCCTTGTTAGTAGTTTTGCCTTGGCCTGCGGCTGTGATTCACAGCCTGTGAACTCAACTCTTAGCTCACCCTCTTACACGCGAGTCTGCGGTTAGCCCCGCGACTCCCGATCATGTCGCGGTTTCAATCCGCCGGTTTGGGTTTTAATCCTTACCACAGTTCGCCATCCTGTCTCGAGACCGCACGTTGCCGACGTCACGTCGGGCTACGACTTCTGCTGAGATTGTGTCCGGTTCCCGCTTCGCGGAAGCGGGCACCGGTCGGTGGTTGGGTCTACCTTCTGCTGTGCTCACCCGAACTCTGTGGTTGTAGAGCATGTGCGGAGACTATCCGCACATCAACGGTCGTTGATCAAGTTCGTCAGATCAAGGCACGTGACTCACGTGCCTGTTACCTTGGCACGTGAGTCACGTGACGTGACTACCGTGACGCGATTGCATATACTACATATCAGCGTGCGTACTTGATCTACCCTCACTTGTTTGAGCATTCTACCAGTATTTCGCACTGTACCGGCATAGTAGAACTGCGCCATAGTGACCGTAAGTTATCGCGCTTGCGGGGAGGCAGGTAATTAGGCGCGAGTCTACACTGTGAGCTGCTTCCGGGCTACTTGGCAACTTTTTTGTGCAGTTGTCGTATCATCCCTGTCCTCCATGTGGGTCTCTTCAAAGCTTCTGTGTCTGTACGCTTTCAGTGCAACTGCTAACGCGGACACCTATATGGGCCAACCGTTGAAGTTCTACAAAGGAATGAGATTCCCGTGGAATATTAAAGAAGCCCCCGAAAGCTATGACCACACGATTCCGACTGTCAACTATACTTGGGACTGGTATTTTGAATACCTTGTCAAGTCTGGTGCGGATAGTTTTCAGCTCGGCGGATATGCAATCGAAGAGAGTAAAGTCGTGTTGGAGCCTGATTTCTACGACCCTTGGAATATAACTGGTTTCATGTCTCTGAGGAAGCAGGTGGATGCTGCAGGGGGAGAGATACTTGCTGACACGCGGTTCTATTTGGACTATGGGAATAACACCTTTGATAAAGCTACTTTCTTGAAGAGTGCCAGCGAGTTCCTGAAAGATTACCCTGTTGACGGTTTTCAAGTGGGTTTGAGCCTGCCGACTGATCCCAAACAATACCAACCTCTGAAGGAGCTCATCGAGGCAATCAAGGAGCTCAACGTACGGGCATGTTTGGAGTGAGTCAGCAAATGCCTCAGAGCATGGGAATCCATGAAACATGGGCCATGTTCTGTTCACTAGCTGCAACAGTTATTCCTGCACGCTAGGTTAACCATCTTACCAAGTGACTGGCAGAAAATGAATGGAACCGGCATAGCAGAGATGGTCGATAGGGCCGTCATTATGCCGTGGCCAGCTTTTCGGGATCCGAAGGCCGCAGAAAACTTCAATACGGATCGTTTCGCCGAAGACCTGATCAAGAATGCCGTCAAAGTTGGCTTAAATCCCAATAAGCTCATCCTTGTTGTAAGTGTGTGCGACTTTCACAATCTTCAGTCCTTCGCTGCCGTGACTGTAGTACTGAGAAAATTACCGGGGACATCAGTGCTGTCTGCGATAGAGAGTTTTCCTCGAAGTCACCTTCTCCATTGGAGGCAGTCTTCGTGTTTACTGTTACAGACCTGAGCTACTCGACTTAGGTTGTGTGGCGTAAATTCAACGTTGTTTTTCAGGTACCGCTACTTGCTAGATCGGACTCCGAGAGCTCAGACATAGGATACTCGAATGCGATCTACGACCTCGGAGCGGATCCAAGAGGGAACGGGTCAGCCTTCTTGAATGGGACCGGCTACTTTTTCTTCTCTCAAACTCGTGCGATCGAGAAGGTTGCCCTGGCCAAGAAGTATGGACTGCACGGCATTGGTTTGGAAGGCGGCGAATCTTTCGAGAGCGAGGATCTATACCCCTGGGACGCAAACTCCCTGTTTCATGCCATTGCTTTATCTTCTGGACGACGCCTTACCGAGTAGTACTCAGCGAGTGGTGCTTCTGAGGTATGCCTCCTAAGCTGGGCCCTTATCATATTTCACTTCAAAGTCGAGCGGTAAGGTGTCACACCTTGGGTGTGTCTACAAAGTCCGAATTTTGTACGTGGTTCAATAATGGTAGATGAAGGTTCATTGATTCCTTATCTCTACTTTTTTTACTCCCAACTATCACCGACCCGACAGTATTTTGTGACTCTTCCTCTCCCTTCTTATGGAAGATGTTTCACTTCTCGAATGAGATTTCAAGTTGATAAAGTGCGAAGGCTGCGAAACGTTTGCGACGGTTGCTGTTAGATCAATTACTACATTGAATGTAGTGCATCCTATCCACTGTCTTGGTGACCGGCCTGGACTGATTTCTGGACTGTTCGTGCTCTCGGAGACCCGCTCCCGAGTTCGAAGGAACGCAAATGCCCACTAACACATCAGAATCTACTACTTTCAATCGCTCACAATTAGAAGAACTACTCACTCGGTGATAAGTGACCAAACTCGGACGCTGGAATGACTCAGATTATCCCAAATGACAAGGAAAGTCGTTGTCATTTGGGAAGATTGTCACTCGTTGAGACTCGTTGAATGAGTTCAGAGTCTGCACTGCATATGCTTCCGTGATACGTATCCCTGAGGGCGTTGTGCCCCCAACATAGTGCCCATGATTAACTAACGCATGCAACGGGTGGAATGGCGAAAAGTTCGTGAGAGTTTATCAATGATACAAACTAATACCTGAAGATCGGCTCGAAGGATATTGATGATAGCGCGAGTCCCACTGATCCGCTGCTTTTCCGCAACATGTGGAAAATCACCAAAACGAGAACACATAAGGGACGGAAGAAGCTCGTGACTTGGCAAGCGCGAGCTGAGATTGCGCCGTAGGGAAGTTCATGCGCCTGTGTTGCACTGTCCTCTTATTCTGTGGCAATCGTGAGCCTTAGGCTCAGAGCCTATCTCGCCAGTGAAACACACCATATGGAGGTGGAGTCTCCCATGATCTCATCGAAGTCAGCGATTGAGATCATCGAAGATTATTTCGTGTAGATGGAACACTAACCCGAAACTGATGTCCTTGTCCGTGGAATTGCATTCCTCCATCATGAAATTGATTTAAAATTTCGCGGCGGAATTGATTTCCCTGTCCGACCCCACTAAATTGATGTCTCTATCCGCGAATGTGATTTCCCTGTCCGCTAAATTGGTAGCCATATCCGCTGAATAGGTCTCTTAAAAGGTATTATAGATGAATCCGACACCACATGATCGGTATCGTGGAACACGTTGATGACCCCGGTGAGCAAGCTGATCGAAATTCCCAACACACAAGTCTTGTCCCCAGTCTTCATCACTTCACCATCGACAAGAGCCATCGAGATTGACCTTAGCAGCGTGTATGTAGCTAGCGTGCGCCCGCTTGTGTGCTCCTACAAGAGCGGATGATTACTCGTGCCCCGAATCTCACCTGGGTTGACCTTGCTCTCTGACGAGACCTCTGTCTTGCTCACTGAAATTGAGCACCCTGGCAGGCTTCCCCACTCTAGTTTCTATCTGTACGTTTTCGTACGATATGGCAGATGATGAGGATTTGCTGAGGAGCCTGGAGGAATCGTTCGAGTGCCCTATCACACAAGAAGTCATGGTAGATCCTGTTACTCTGGTCGAGACTGGCTATACTTACGAACGATCAGCTATCAGGAAAGCCCTTCAACGGTGAGAGGAATAATAGGCGTCCCTTCGGGGCTGCAATCGTGTTGTAATTTTGCGATGGAGTGGTATGAATCCAGCATGATC